CATGGAGTGGAAAGGGAGGGACCAGCCGGCAGTCAGGATGCAGCTTCTGAGCATCCCTGGACACCTCCCTGGGGATGGTGGCCATCCTGTGGCCTTTGGGCTCCGGTTGGTGAGAGGTAGGGTCAGGATCAAGCCCTGCCGGCAGATACTCTGCCACCAGGGCTGGCCAAACCAGCTCAGCCACATTTATGGTAGCACTGTCCCCATTGCAGGCAGGTCCGAGCCCCCTGGTCCAGTCCTGGGCTATGAAGAGCCACCATGGTCCTCTCACTGCGCCTCCCCCATGGCAGATCTCTGCCAGGGCTTCCACAGGACCTTCCTGGGAGGCTGGGAGGGGACTGGGGGCTGCTGGCACGCATGGCGGGGTGGCTAGAGGAGGGGGGCCACGCAGCTCACAGGGGGGCCGCGTCCTTGCAGGGACGACGTGCGACCCTGCCTTCTGGAACCTGCAGAAGCAGCAGCTGGTGGCCAGCCTGCCCCGGGAGCTGCTGCAGGCCTACGGCGAGGACTACGTGGAGGAGATCAACCGCCAGTTCATCCAGTTCATGAAGGTGGCGGTGGAGGACCTCAGCGCGGTGGTAAACAGCATCACGGACGGGCTCCTGGCTGCCAACCCAGCTGTGCGCTACTACCCAGGGCAGGGCCTTGGGCTCATGTATTTCATACACCGCTACCTGCCCTATTTCGTCCGAGACTTGTTCTTGAAAGGATTCTTCATCAACCCCAAGCTGCCCCGAGCGCTGCGGCGAGAGCACCACAACGACACAAAGAAGGCCTGACCTCGGCCCACAGGCAGTCGCGGGGCAGGAGCGAGTCTTCTCCTGGGATTTCCAGGCACACCAGCCCCCAAGCATGTGCACAGCCGCTGGCAACGCCCTCCTGCACTGCGAGGGAACAATCAGCACTAGACGTTAAAAACCAAATTGCTTTCCAAAATCAGGCAGATCTATTTTCTATTGTGCGAGAATCAACGTTTTCTAGAGACTTTGTTTTTGTATTTTTTCTAACCGTGCATCCTCCAAGGGGGCCAGCCCTGCCTGTCTCTGCGGCTCCGCACCATGGGCTGGGATGTACTGCGGGTGTTTCTCAGCTACCCGACATCTTCCTCACTGCTGTCAGAGCTGCAAGCACTTGTCTCTGTCACCTCTGGGCTGGGTCAGGCCTGGGACTCTCTGGCCACTGCTGTGCCAGCCCCTGCCTCCCTGCCGTTCGTTACACACTCCACATGCTCCTGGCGAGCACAGGGGCTGAGGCTGGGCTGCAGAGCTCTTCGTGAGATGAACTACAGGATTGTCACTTTTTAAATAAATCTGTTCTTGATATGCCACTGGGCTCTGGCAGTCTCCTTCCGCGGTGCAGCGCTGCGATGCCTGGTCAGGGATGCCCTGCCTGCAGGCAGAGCTGAGCTGGGTCACAGCTGGCACCGCACCAAGCACCGTGGCGGGAGCCTTGCGTGGGGCAGCAGGTGCCACAGGCAGCCCCAGAAAAAGGCTCAGCCTGCCAGGAAGAGCTTGCACCCACTCCCCCTTACTCCCCACCCCTACCCCCAAGGCTTCGTTTTGCTTTGCTCCAACTCTGTGGCCCAGCTGGGACAAGGATGGAAGGGGCGACGGTGCCACATGCAGCCCCACGCAGGAAGCCCAGGCATGAGGGGGCAAGCTTAGCAAAGCCAGGGGATGTGCCACGCAGCTCCCTAACCGCATGGCGCTCTCACACGGCTGCACGAGCAGCGAGGGCTACATCTCCTGGGCACCCACCAGCTCAGCACCCAGCCACACCCGCAGACCAGGCATCACACGCAGCTTGGGCTGGAGTGGGAAGGGCCAGGGCCCCAGCGGGCATACCAAATTCCCTGGGTAAGATGCCCTGTGGCTGACACAGGCTCCTCTTGGGGATGTGGGAGCAGGCACCCAAGTAAGCGGGGAGAGCACAGTGCAGTAGGCAGTCATTTATTGGTGTAGAGAGGAGGGGAAAATGCGATAACAAACACTGCAGAGGTGACCACAGCAGAAGCTGAGACAGAGCTGCTCTCCATCGATCCCTCCCAGCAGCAGCACCGAGCACGCGTTTCCCACCAGCGAGATTTCTCTGCTGCCGCACCACCACGGGGCATCTCCCAGACCTCAAGCGCAAGTGGGAGCAAGCCAGGACACAGAGCAGCAAGGAGCAGGGCTGCCATGCCATGGCTTGGCTCCCACCCCTTAACCACAGACGGGCAGGGCCTGGACAGGGTATGGGGCATCCCTGCCAACAGCTGGCCCCGGCATTCATCAGAACAACCAAGTAGAGCCAGACCCCAGGGCCGCTCTGCCCAATGGCCAGCTGTGCCCGTATGGCTCCACAGCAGTGCCAGCCCAGACGCCCTGCGGAGGGGAGGAGGCTGTGCCAGCCTCAATGTCTGCCCTGGGGTGGTGCAGGGGTCCAGCACTATCTGCAGAACCAAAAGGAGCCCTGACTCTTGCATGGTTGCGACAGTGAACTCCAAGCCGTGGGTCTTCAGGGGAGGAAGGAGCTCAGCCAGCTTATGGAGCCCTTTCAAGCTGCAGGGCAGGAGGAAGACTGATTAGAGATGCTTCTGAGGACATGGCAAGGCTGCACTAGTGCAAATGCTGCTGGAGTGGGGACGAGTGTGCTCCACAAGCTCTGGCTCTGCCCTCGTGTTCCCACATGCTCTGTCCCAGTCCTGGCCAGGGCTGCTCGGTCTCTCCCAGGTCAGGGTTAGCTACAGGGGGATGCAGGGATTGCACAGCAGCATGGGCCATGCTACAAATCACACTCAAACTAAATCTCACAGGAACAACACTGACTAGGAGGTGTGCAGAGCACTGACAGAGAGGACCCCTGGCCATGGCAGACCTGATGCGTTCCTCTGTGGTGGTGGGAACCCCTTGGAGGCAGCAACCCCCGGCTGGTGCTTGCTCTATGAGCATAAGCGCATACAGCAGATTAGTACAGTAACACAGAGACTATTAGATACACAACAGGAGGTGCCCCTCCTGCTACACAGGGCCAAGCCTGTGCCACTGGTCCCTCCGGACCCCTCACAGCACATACAACTCAAACTTCAGCTTGTGAATAATTTAACTAGCAATTGTACAGCTTCCTCATCTGAGACAGTTCCACAGATGGCACATCCCTGGAGTCTAGGCAAGGGACAACTCAGGGAGTTAGACAGGGGTTCCTCTGGACTCCAGGGGCAGGAGGGCTGGACAGCAGAGCAGGGTTAGAAGATGGGAATGTAGTTGTCGATCTTGGTCCTGTGCCGCTGGGCGATGCACTCTGCGATCCACACAATGTTGCGGCACTCCTGCTCCTTCAGCTTCACGAAGGCGTAGAAGACTCCAAAGTGGAATTGGTTGAGGAAGGCTAGCTTGTTCAGCTTCACCTGGGGAAAGCCCAGAGGAGGACATGTCACTTGTCCACCTCAGATGGGAGGAGCTGGTCAAGGCAAGTGTGGAGCAGCTTGGGAGGTCCCACGACTTCCCCAGCAGGCTGGGGGGCTCAGCACAGGTATCCTGCTCTGCACCTCTCTAGGTCCTCAGGGCAGCTCTAACCTACAGCACATGGCTCAGGACAGGCTCTGATATTTGAAAATCCTTCTTTCCCACATAATTACACACTGGTTTTGCTATCAATGGACCAGATCTCCACCAGCAGCCCCAAACTTGCCTCCCACACTGCTGTAATCTGTCTGGGTGAGAACATGGACTGAGCACCATGCTGGGCCCCCATTCCCTTGCTGGAGCAGAGGGCTAGCATCCTTTTCCTCCCCCAAAACTCTGTTCATGCACAGCACTGCTGACAGGGCAGCAGACAAGCTTGCTGCTACCCTGAGCTTTGCACCATAGGCACATAGAATCATTTAGGTTGGAAAAGACCTTTAAGATCGTTGAGTCCAACTGTAAACCTAACGCTGCCAAGTCGACCACTAAACCATGTCCCTATAAACATTTAATAACTCATATGTGACAAGGACTTTAATAACACCACACCTAGGGACTTCAAGAAAAGAAAAGCAGGGATTTTAGCACTCAGTAGTCACTAAGAACATTCAAAAATACATCTTCTTCACCCCGTGTTCTGTGCTGCATATTTTAGGACCTCAATCATGCTCAATTTCCCTATTAGAGAAGGCCGCTTTAGCTGCTGTGCTTTAAAAAGACAAATAGCTGATCTGGAATAGCCCTCTGGTACTGGATTATGGACCTGCAGGCTGAAAAGTGTCTCGGGGCTCACTCACCTCATGCTCAAAGAACCTGTCTTCAAGGGTCTTGTCTCCAGGGTTGCTGCCAGCCCCTTCAAATAGCAGCTTGTACTCCTGCAGGAAGACATTACAAGACGATATACCCAAACCCCAAAGCCCTCCAAGCTCAGCAGCGTTCCTGGGCCCTGTACGTCAAACAGGCACCCCAGCCACCACGCCAGGTCAGCAGAGGACACAGAAGCCAAGAGCCTGCCCTGTGCACACATGAGGATTGGCAAGGGAATGCTGCCGGGGCTGCACTGCACACACACTGGCTGAAGGCAATCCCCTTCGTAAGGCAGAGAAAGCCTTTATTTAATCTGTGAGCTTGCCCAGCCAGAGATCCTGCCCCTTCTCTGAAACGTGCAGTGCTGAAAGCCATATCACCACTTTGAGTCTGCAGGGAGGATGCACCAGGTACAGACCCCTCCATGTACAGACCAGAGTGTGTGGGCCAGGCCCCTGTGCCCACAAACACTGGCACGTGCCCTGGCTGCTTCAAGCAAGGGGACACTGAGCTCTCTGACTCCAAACCACGCACAAGAGCAGCTTAAGGAACCAAGACACATCCAAGCATGTCCTCCCAGGTCAGCCTCTCCCCTCTGACTGAACCAGAGCTCAGAGCAACCCACTAGGGCTGCAGATGTGGCACACCACCTGAAGACAGGTTTCCACCCCCAAACAGCCAAAGAGAGACTGTCATTGCTGCCACACCGATACCTCAAGGGTTCGGTGGTGAGGGCAGTCCCCACACCCTGGGACGGGGCTCATAGGGCACACCTAGTCTCCCACTGCTATGGCAGCCACAACTAACAAGCCAATGGCATCCCAGGCAAACCAACTCCATCTTGGCCAAGCAGAGCACAGAACCAACAGTAAGAGCAGAAGACAGGCACTCCCCTCCCCACACTCCCCCAGATCCCCGAGAAGCTCTGATCCAGAGCAGGTCCTTGCACCAGTCCCCACAGCCCTCACCCCAAAGCACTCACAGGGTAGTAGTCAGCAACATTTTTGACTTGTTCGTAGTCATCTGCTCTGGCCAGCTGAGCCAGGCCCTCAGGGTAGAGCTTGCCACAGTGTGGGAACAGCTTTGCTCGGTCCTCCTTGGACAGCTCAGTACCAAATGAGTTAATAGTGATAATGAAGGCCCTCCGGTCAGCTTCAAACTGCGGGAAAACAGTGGTTCACCTTGGGATGAAGCATCTTTGCCAGAGGCCAGCAAATACCGGCACTGCTCTGAACAGAGCCACATCAGAGGGCAGCATGAGCAAGCTGCCTGGGACACACACAGCTATCTGGTGCTCAGCCAGGGCAGGTTACATGTGCAGGCTCCCAGTATGCCCAATAGCTGATGCCTGGGGAGCAGTCAGGTGAGGAAATTCCCACCCCAGGCACAAGCCAAATCACTAAGCAGAACCCTGCCCAGGTCAAGGAGTCTTTCTCACCTACTGCCCCTGAGCCCTGCACATCCCACAGCTAGCCTTGGCATGGAGACGGGCCGTACACTGAACAGCTCTGGTTATTCTCCAGCTCGTTATCCATGTGTGAGGATGAAGATGTTGCCATGAAGGCAACAGATGTGTCAGCACCTGGCAAGATCAGGACTGGGGAACCGAACCTGTCCAAAGTCACGTGCAGGCAGTCTTTTCCTAGGTCTCCCAGTGAGCAGGCAGAGTGTGCATGGGGATGCTGAAGAATATCTTTAGCATCCTTAATGCTGGCAGGCAAGCTGCAGCTGAGCACAGAGCAATGAATATCACGGCAATACCGTCCAGCTACGAGGGTTTCCAGACCTACCTCCAGGATCGGGCACATGGCATCTGCTGTGGTACCTCCTAGCACCTTGCAGAACTTGTAGAAGGACTCCAGGTAAGCCTGGAAGAGAGAGAGCAGATGAGCACTCTTCTACACAGCTTCATCTACTGCCCCATAGGGCCATTCAGCAGGGGACAAACAGCAAGCAGGGATGTTCCCAGACACTTTATAACACAGCACGGGCACTGTCACCCCATGTGAACTTGGATGGCATGCCCACACAAGGGTCAGTGCTTCCCCCAGGAGCTGGAGACATGAAGGGTTGTGGTTGGGTTTGTTCAAGTGACTGCATGAGCTTACTGCAGGCGGATCCCCAGACAACAAGGGTAAAGACTATTTTGCTCCTTTGAGTCGTCTGACTCCAAAGCATTTACTGAAGTCTCACGTGGTTTCCTGACCCCGTTTTGGCCTCCACAAACATGCCAAGCCACACAACTATAGCGGTAAGACCTACACTCAGAAAGTACCGCTGTGTAAGCAGAGTCAAGAGATGAGACAGGACATCTGTGAAGGAAACTAGCCATTCTCTGCAATTCTCTTTTCACACTGCAGCCGCTTGGTCTCCATCCCAACTGGAGCACTGCAGAAAACATACAAGGCTAGGCACAGCTACGCTGCCTCCAGGAAACGTAATCCTTTGTGGAGATGTACCGTAATCCAGCTGGAAGATGACTGTATCTCCCAGGGGGAGCCCATGAAGGCAGTGCATGCCTAAAAGTGCTGTTCAGCAAAAACTTTCTCAGAAGAAGCCATCATGTGATAAAATGCCTCTCTGGACAGAGAGCTTGCAACCAGAATCACTTAAAAGGGATGGAATAAAATGATGCTGAGACATCACAAATCTCTGCTTTGTCACAACTACTCCAGGACTGAAGATGGACCAAGAATGCACGTTTTGGACACCCTCAGCCTCTGCACTAGGAAAGCACCTGGATTACTGTGTTCTGTAAATATTTGTTACCACACAGTGCGAGAGGACACTGCTGGGTGAGCATCACACATCAAAGAAATATCGTCTCCAGCACTTGCCACTGCTCAAGTGCAGGAGAGCACAGAGCATCAGTCCGCAGAGCTACCACAGGAACAAGAACACAGATAACAGACTTTGTTTGAGGCTGACAGAAGAGGGAACCTGGGTAAGAGGTTCAGTCGCTACCTCTGCCCTTCTCAGAGTTCACGCACAAACTTAAGGCTTTAGAAGCAAAAATAGGTGAACTCAAATATCCAGCACTCAATGAGGATCCAGTATCACAGACACTATGGAAACACAGACTGTAAAACAGCCACAGTGGGTATGCTCCCCTATGGACCCCTCCACAGATAACAGCAATTTACAGAAACTCTCCAGTGTCCTGAATCCCTTACCCCAGAAATGGTAGTCTCTTTGCATTTAATAATCCTTAATGAACTCTGACTTCCACAAACCCACTCATTTACCCTCTGCCTCCTGATAGCCTCATTGGTCTGTCACCTCCAGCCTGAAGGGAGATCTGTGGCCTGTCCATCCATGTTGATTTTTATAACACTATCTGCAGTTACCACCACAGCTCTGATTTGCTCCTCTTCCAGGTGAGGAATCCCAAACATTTTTTGTAGTTTCCCATACAGAAGTCATTGTACCCAAACCTTTAAATGTGTCCTCCTTAGCAACTTTTCCTGTTCTGCTGTTCATATTCGGAGATGAGAGAGGAGAGGAACGAGACAGTGTTCAGGACAAATGCACTACAGATGTATGCAGCAGCACAGTGATATTCATGCAGTTCTCTTCTACTGTTAGGAACAGATTGCCTTGTAGAGAGACACTTGCTTAGGTCAATCATAACCCAAGATGTCATTTAGTAGTAGAAAGGAACAAGGAGACCCTCACTGTACAAGCAGAGTTAGGATTACCTCCTTGCCTCTCCCATACATCACTCCACATTTATCTACATTGATTTGCCTGCTTTGTTTTATTGTTCAGTCACAAAGCTCTTTCAGCTGGTTCCTACAAGAAGGTCACCAGCAAAGGCCAACAGTCAGCCAGCTTCACTTCAACATATCCATTAAAGATGTGGAAAAATGGGAGTAAGCACTGAAGATAGCAATGCTGGCATGCCTCTGCTGCATGACTCCACTGCTGACCGCCCTCTACACTAAGAGCTGACTGCTTACTTTTAACCTCTGCTCCCCATCTTAACCGTACTTCCGTTCAAGAACCTTCTCACTTGTGCTTGCTAACAAGAAACCTTTGTAATTGCTCTCCTCCTATGAATCCTGCTCAAACCTTCTGTCTACATGCTCGCAGATTCCTTCAAAAAACCTCCAGTAGGTCTGGGAGGTAGCACTTCCCCTTCCCATCCAAACTCCTCCCAGATGCAGGCATCCATCCCAGGCACCTGCCTGCTCTGTTCCTCAGAGCAGCTCTGAGCAGATTTCAGACCTGATTTTTTTTCCCTCATTTGCCTATAAAGACCATTTGCATTGTATTATACATTTTCCAGTCCCTGGGGAGAGAGGTGGCTTCAAGGGAGAGTCTGTAAGTAGCAGTTACCTCTTTCACCCTTGTGTCACCATGATTTGTTAGTGTCGGAGCCCCTGTGTTCCCCGGGGGCTGCTCTTTAGCAAGAACCAGTCCCAGCACACGCCAAGGGATACCAGGTATCTACACTTCAATCTGGGGGTAGGAAGAGCAGAATGCAAAGAAGTATCAAGCCTCAAAAAGGAGATGGGAAAGGATGTGGCAGCTGGGACCCAAGGAGACACACATACACCCCCCCAGCCTGTTGGCCCTGTGCTCACTCTGCTCCCTGCCTTCCCCCACCTGCCTCATCTTGACACAGAGGTCTGCACCCTGCCAAGGTGCAGGTATTTATGCATACAGGCATACCTCCTCCTGTTACAGCAAAAGACCAGTACATGCCAGGGGCCACAGGTAGCTCTGCACCATTACCAACACGCAGCTCCTCCCCTCCCTTTGCCTTCTTCCCTTCATGCCTGATCTGTTCTCTGCCTCTCCAAAAAGGCCACAGCTTCCTTGGGAAGCAGAGGTCACATTGACTGCAGGCTGGCTGTGACCAGCCAAAACAAGGTTGGCAGATACAATCTGCATCCCACCCTTAATCCAGAGAGTCGAGATGGAGCGATAGCCACAGCCTGCACATAAACACAGGCTTTGATACCGCCAGCTAAAACCAGATAGGGCCTGCAGAGGAGATGACAGCTCCCCGTGCAGGCTCAGGACAAGGAGATCCTTAGCCCCTCCACATCCCTGTGTCAATACTTTCCCAGCCTGCAGGACTCCTCCACCCCAGCTGCACCTTTTACACTGCTCTACCAAGAGCATCTAGCCCCAGCCACAGCCACTGAAGGCTTGAGCAGACTGTTGGAGGCTCTTCTGAAAGAGCTCAAGACAGAGAGCCAAGTCCATGGAAGTCCTTCAGCCAAGTTTAAGATCAAGCCACTTTAGCCCTCTGAATGCAGTTAACTACACATCTAAACTCGTGTGGTTAAGAAGCAGCCTTTTCCTGCCTGCCTGGGGCCTGAGGAAATTCATTCAAACACAGGACCTCAAAAAAAAAAAAAATCTCTTGCACAGACTCTTGACAGCCTGACAGCTCAAAAAAAAAGTCACTCCGCCTAGCTCTGGTGCCCTGACCCTGCAGAGCCAGGTGACTGGACTTCAGGCCCCTCCAAGAGCACTATCTTTACTTTCCAGCAGAGGCAACTAGTTCTTGGTCACGTTCACTCTATCACCACTCCAGGGAAGAAAACAGAGAGAAAGCAAATTTATTTTAAAATCTGTTCCAAGAGGAAAATACCCTCTCCCCTTTGGTTGAAGAAAGCCAGCCTAAGTTGGAGCTCCTGACCCAAGACAGAGCTGTAGTCATGCTAGAAATAAATAGGGAAGTTAACATCTCTTTC